CCTCCCAACACAATTGCACCAGCACCAAAGCCAAACAACATGCCCGCGCCGCATTCTACACCTAAAAAACACGCGTTTAAGGAATTTGTAATTATTTTAATGCAAAAAGCATTACTTATAGCCACAATAACGTTTTTCGCTTTTTATAAATGCAGGGGGTAAAATAATTGCAGATTGAATGAGCTCCTTTTTTTTGTGGTGGTGGGGAAAAAATTTGCGGTCCAGACTTTTTTGGTCAGGGCGGGCCTATGTACGCTGACTTGTGGCGGGGGCACTCGTCAGCGCGTGCTTGCCAGGCACCAAGATTACACGATCTCCGCACGCTGCCCAAATAATCGTTGAGACAAAATTCGATCAATTCCCGCCCACCACCTAGCCAATCACGTGGGTTTTGTCTCAACGATTACTTGGGCAGCGGGCGTGCTCCAGTACTATAACAAATGGGACTTCAAGTCGTGTTTGTTTTTGGTTAGGGGCGTTGGCAGGCTTGCTTTCCTTTGTGCTTTGGTGGTGGGCCGAGGCCTGACGCACACCTGTAGTATCCACATATTATGTCATCCCGTTGCTCCGTCGTGGGCAAGTACGACCACGAAGTCCAACCCTCGGCCCTCGGATTTTCCAGCGGAAAGAATTGCACAGCCACAAGGAAATGCCAGACACGGTGACACGCCAGGAATTTGGCTTGATCGGAAGTGGGCGAGGAGGCTGTTTCTAGAGCCTGCTGAACCTCAAGATAATGATTGCTTCGGCTTGGGCTCCATCTGCTGGTGCTGACGCATTGCGATGCACTCGATCGAATCGGGTAGCCCCGCTCCAGACGCAAAACACCGCATACAGCTCCGCCCAAGCACCCGTAAAACTTGGTGCGCTCCGAACCTGTAGCCTCCATCTCCAAGAAGCGCACAACTCAAGTCGTGACAACTCGCGCCCTTTGTACTGTAACCACGGGGTTTATTCCTCATACTTGTCGCTGGTTCTGCAAAGATGGAGCACGATTGCAAGACGCGTAAGTTCGGATGCCGTGGCCTGTAGCTGATGCCACGACTTTCGGGCGATGGAAGTCTGATGAATTGACCCCGCCCTCCCGACCATGATAATAGCGGGGTACTCGACGGCCGACAAGACGTCGTTCGCCTACACCTCTGCCCGCGAGAGGTGGCCCATCATCATTGTATATACTATTCCTCTCCATCTCCCGTTCCATTGCGCCCATTAACCACGCCCCTCACCACAGACGCAAGCCATCGACGACGTGTATCGATCTGTGGCTCAGATCGACGACTCCGCCAAGACCGCCGAGGGCAGGGGCATTATCAACGAGCTCGCGCAGCTCAAGTACCAAGTCCAGCACGACCGGCAGCTCACGTAACGTCCAATCCTCCTCGTCGTCCCTCACATCTCTGTCGCCCCCGAGCCTCAGCACTGACCCGTCGTCAGGCCGATCCCAGACGATGGCGGTTCCGATATCAAGCTCTACAACAAAGAGCTTGAGCAACGGGGAAACCCTACCTGGCTGAATGCGAACTGGCTTTTCTCCGAATGCTACCTCTACCGGTAAGTGGCAGTCTCGGGCCGTTCGAGGGAGGCGCTAACATGGCCCCTCGTCGGGCTCCATGCACAGGCGTATAAGTACAAACTTCTCGCTCTCCACCCACTGGAGGGGATACGACGTTTTTGCGAGACAGAAGATCAAGACATTCCGCTCCTCCCGTCCCGCCGTCGCCGAGCTTGCGGCCCGCTACAGTGAGCTGGTCAAGCAGCTGAGAGAGCGTAAGGCCGGTGACGGCGAGGCAGACAAGCTCCTGTTCCGCGAAATGTGCGAGATCTGTCTTTGGGGCAATGCCACCGACCTCTCGCTCCTGACTACTCTCTCGTACGAGGACATCCAAAAGCTACAGGGCTCTGAGGCCCGCCGCGCCGCCGAGGCAAACATCCTAGTCAACGACCTCGACGCAGCTTTCGACACTCTGGTCGGCGCTAGGGGCTCCAAAACAAGCCCCACCGGGCGGCGCCGCGTCGATATCGTTCTCGACAACGCTGGGTTCGAGCTTTACGTCGACCTCGTCTTGGCCGGCTACCTACTCGAGGCCGGGCTCGCGACCGAGGTTGTTCTGCACCCCAAGGAGATTCCCTGGTTCGTCTCGGACGTAGTGCCCGCCGACTTTGGCGCGCTTCTCAACGCCCTGGCCAACCCGAAGGCCTTCTACGAGACGCCGTCGGATGAGGAGGCACTGCAGGACACGAAGCCCGAACCGCTTTCGGAGCGCGAGGCCGCCGATATGGCATTCCTGTTTTCCAATTGGACCGAGCTCTACGCAGAGGGCAAGATCATTCTAAGACCGAACGACTTCTGGACCCAGGGTGGCAGCTACTGGCGCCTGCCCGCGCAGTGTCCATTTTTGATCAATGAGCTGAAGTCCAGTGAATTGGTCATCTTCAAGGGCGACCTCAACTACAGAAAACTAACCGGAGATGTGAGAATTTGCCTTTTTGTCCTTCTCACCAGCGAGGATGTAGAGCTGACCCCCTTTGATTTTGTGCTTCGACAGGCTGCGTGGGACCCCACCACACCTTTCACCGAGGCCATCGGGCCGATGGGTCCTGGCTCTGGCGTCAACGTTCTCGCGTTGCGAACGTGCAAGGCCGACGTTGTGGTTGGGCTGAAGCCCGGCCAGGACGAAAAGCTCCGGGAGCAGGATAAAGACTCGGACCCGGCGGCTAGAAAATGGGCGTGGAGTGGAAAGTATGCAGTCGTCTCTTTTTCCCACGGCGCGTAGGGCGGTTAGGTTACCCTTGGTGTGTGATGTGATCACTCTTAGAGACTGCAGATGCACGATAGATCCAATTAGGCTTAGACTAGTGGCCTGATCAGGATAGCACTTCGTTCCATGGAAAGTTTGGTGATGGATAGGATGTTTCAACTTGGCAGATCCCTTTCGGCCTCTCCTGGTTTTCCGCGACAAACAAAGGGGCACTAAACGTTCCCTTGGGTTACACGAGTTTGCGGGCGTGTTGGTCCGGGCCATACACCAGCGGTACAGAGCTGGCTGTAGGTTGCAGGCAGAATGCAGGCGACACGGAATCAACAAGGGTCCGCGCAGTGTGTCTCTGGAGCATTTCATCCGACTCTTATCTCTCCGGGCTATTCCTTGTTGGATCTGGCCACCCCGAGTGTCTTGCTCTGAAGAGGGGAAATGGCCGTGGGATGTTATTTTTCTCGGCGTTATTGCTACAGTTACCTCTCTCTCTCTGCCGTTTGAGTAATACTGGTGCTAACCGCGCGGAAGCGCAGAGGGAGCTCATCCTTTTGAGAGTTATAATTGAAGTCACCATCCGCACAAACCCCCCCGCCTCCCGCAGGTTGGGGTTGCACAGATCACCTAACCTAGGGAGATTCGGAGGTCACAAGATACAGGTTCCAGGGATCAGAAACGTTAGTGCGGTGGATCAACCAGGACAGGGGGAGTAAGGGTACACAACGTGCCACCCAATTTGCAGTAAAAATCAATGTATTGCAACTAACCAATTAATAATTAATGTGATTACCTCCGTTGGCAATTACCATCCGTAACTTTAAACTATAAAACAAGCTATTTTTAAGCAAATTAGTTAGCACGGCTTCCTAAACAGCTGAAACCGCTGCTTTAAGTTGTAAAAATAAAAATTATTGCAAATTATAATATTTTCCAGTTATTTTTTTATTTAAATTTATAAATTTTTAATAAGGTTAAGGTCCGGGCTGTTAAAAAGCTAGAAAGAATTATGATTCAAAAAGCTTTAAGCTAATGCTGGGTTATTTGGGCTCGGTGGAAAAACGCATTATTTTATTAAAAATATCAAAATTAACAGGTTTGGGCTTTAAGTTAGTTAAAAATAAGCGGAAATATACGTTTGCAATATTTAAAAGCGTTAATTCTTGTATTACTCAGCTAAACAAACGTTAAATTTTTAATTTAAGCTGCAAACAAGCTGTAAAATATAAATCCGTAACCTTTTTATTTAATTAATGCAAAAATTACTCGGTTTTTGCAATTATAAACCGTTATACGTTATATATCGTTGGTTTTTAAAAAGTTAATTAAGATTGCTACGGGACCAGACCAAGGTAGTACCCGTTACACCAAAGCAAAAGAGGAACGTTGTTGTAGCTGAGGCTACAACCCATGCGAGGTCCTTATATGCGATCGTACCGTGACAAAGATATTACATTTTATTAAATTAAAAAAAAAAGCTAACGCCGTTTTATATTTAATACTTTTTTATTAGCTACTTTTTAAAAGCCTAATGCACAAATTTAAATCGGAGTTAACGCACCCTGGAAAAAAAAAGAGCTTTACACCTTGTTGCATCTGTTTATAATATAAAAAAGCTATAAGTAATACTATAGCAGTAGTGCCCCAATTTTGGAAGCCAGGACTTAACCATCGAAAGTTAGCTTAAGGAATTTAACGGTAACGGGGGTTTTTATTAAGGAATTGTTGCAACGCATGCACTTGTTCTTTGGAGGCTTGTTTTTTTGCTGTGCCGCCTTTTTTTGGGGGGTAACAAGGCCAGGCCTGCCCTCCCTCGACCCCTCCCAAGCAACGTGCAAAGCTTAATCGCGATACTAAAATAAAGATACGCACCCTTCGAAATTATGCCCGTTGGCCTTACGAGGCTATCGCCCGCGAATTGGGGGTTACCTAACGCCAAGTCCAATGGGCTTGCCGGCCGGCGGGCAGGCGGGAGGCGTCGAGGGTCGCGGAGGAAGGGCCGGCCGTAGGTAAGGCGCCCAACGCGCGTGCGCATCGGGCCGGGCGTGCAATTGAAAGGGCATTAAATTAAAGGTATCGCGGTGCGTCAAATTAAAGCTATCGCGGTGCAAATCGCCGGCGTTGAAGTGCGTTGATTGAAGGTATCGCGGTGCAGATTGTGCATTGAATTGATTGGTGCACGCGTTACCCTGCTGCAGGCGTTGATATCTTATCCGTGCAGATTGCAGATTGGGCCCTGGCCGGGGGACGATTCTAGTGGGTTCTGGTAAATGGAGGTGCGGGTAGCGATACATCGATTTAGCGGGATTTTCTATGGTGGAAAATGTATCTGGGTACGTAGCCTAATTAGGAAGGATCCACCGCACTAACAATTCTGATCTCTGGAACCAGTTGGACTTCCTTGATTCTGGAGTCTCTTTTTTCACAGTGCTGGTGGGTCGGCGTTGACGTATTGCTTGTTTAATTGTCTCATTGCACTTGGTGGCCCACAAGCCGAGAAATCCCTGTGGTTGTTTATAATACGGGCAAATCACGCAGAGAGAGGAAAAAAAAAAAAAGCAAAATGTGGATTGGTTCCGAAACGCCGAGCCCGGTGGAAGTAGAGCTGGGGGTGACTAAAGGTCTCCGGCAAAAAGAAAGGAACGAATCCGCATCGTAACGAAATGCCCCTATCGATACCGCAGCAGAGCCGGCTAGCCTAAAGAATGAGGGAAGAGAAATTCCATCCCACATAACTATGCGCCAAGGAACCAAGAGAGAAAGGGAAAAAAAGTTGAGGGGTACGAGAAGGTATCGAGAGGAGAATCTGGGCATTTAGTAGGGAGATACATGCTTAGACTGTGATTTTAAGGTTGTAGAGCTTTTGGGAATTGTCAAGAGCAGTGGAATGAAAGCACAGCGCGCCGTCGAGGTAGGAAGAGAGAAAGGCACGGATAAATAAGCACAAACAACAGAGAGTCGTTCATGATCCGAAACTACCCGCCAACATTGAAATACCAGAGCCACCAAAGCGCAAATTATAAAAAGCAACCGATGACACGTAGAGAACATCCGAGCTCCTACGGCTCTCTCAGCTCTGGCAGCGATCCAGGTGGTCATCATCCTCGTCATCGCTACTATCCACAACAAAGGCGGCAGAGCCGGCCGTGTACTTGGGGACCTGGTAGTTGACGGCAGGCATGATGGGGTACTTGTGGTTTACCTTGTTGCGGCGGTGGGGGCCGCCGGTCTGCTCGATGGAATCAGGGAAGCGGTGGCCGAAGGCGGCGGCCCAGGGCGTCTTCATCGAGTCGGGCGGGTCCCACGAAAGCTCCTGGTCGTGGAGCCAGACGCGCACCAGGTGGCGGCGGCCGGCGCCGCCGGCCGAGCCGTCCATGTAGGGGTCGCGGGCGTGCAGCAGGGCCCAATTGTTGACGAAGAGCATGTCGCCTGGGCGGGCTGGAACCGAGAGCCGGTGCTCGTGAGCCACCTTGTTGAACGTGTCGAGGGCCTCGTTCTGCTTTTCGGTGAGTGCGGGCACCTCTGCGGCCTTGTCGCATGTCTTGGCGTTGTCGCCGAGGAACGGTGGGAACTTTGTGGCCTTGTACTCTGCGTTGGCCGTCTGCCGGCCCAGCCGGCCCGGGTCGAGGCTGACCATCAGGTTTCCGTGCTTGTATTGGATAAGCGGTGCTAAGTAGTAGCGGGATTTGGCCTTGGTGCTATTTCATTATCAAAAGTCGCGGGTTGCATTAGCAAAAAGAACGGCTAGATAGTTTTAAGTTCCAATTTTTTTTTGGATATTGACCCATAGTCGGGTCTAACTGGTGCCGGGTATATGGAATTGCTCTTGAGTATCACTCACATCTGAATAGGCCAGTTGGGGGTAGCCAGAGCTTCAAGAACATCCGGGTAGTTTGCCGAAAGCTCGTTGTATACGGTCCAGGCTGAAGACAAGTGGGTGGACCCACCCTCACTTGCACATTGCCGGTAGTGGAGGGCAAGCACGCTCGTGCCCATGTCGTTGTGGAACGGCTACAGTAGTTGTGTTTTTGTTAATTATCCGATAGAACAGTCGCCTTTGGGAGTTCTACCGTCGGCCGAGGCTTGTCTCGGAGAGTGGATGTTCCACCACAAGCCAAGCGATGATGGAAAGCGACTTACCATTCCCTGCTCGGTGTGTACGCCGTGCCGGAGCCTGTCGGGGACATTCTTCCACTGTTGGACAACGGTTATGTGACCTATTTGTGTTGGTAAGCTTTTCTTGAAGGCTAGGTACGCGCGTCGCATCTCTAGAGACTATTCTAGTTCTGGCCGCTTGGGAAAACACTAGGGCTCAAACATACTCAGCATGTTTCCATCGCTATCTTGTACACCACGAACGTCGCCAATGTGGCTTGCGATCCCGAGGAATATCATTGCGTTATCTTCGGGCGAGTACTTGTTCGGCTCCAGACCTCGCAGGAGACAGTGTCCCTGCTTGCTGTGGACATCGTGTGAAGCATCTCTGAGTCGGGACTGGAGATTCTGGGATAGGCGAAAGGTATCGCTGCTGACTTTATCGCCGTGGTATCCGAGCTCTAGATATTCAATCCGTTGGTTAGCCGATTAGTAACACCCACGGCTCTTGCTGTGATGTTTTGGGCCACGCAGATCAGGCTCGAGCACCTTGCGGCAAACAAACAGTATATGCAAGGGAAACCAAGTAGCGCTATGAATATTACCATCAGGGCGTTGATGTGAGAGCAACGTGAAAACGCCGGTTGTTTTTGTCTCCCTCGCTCAAAAGGGGCATTGCTTGTGGGGTGAGGTTGGGTGTTGGTTCTGACTGTAGGGAAACAAAGAGGGAAAGAAAAGCACTGCCACTGCAGCGGAGGGGGCCGGAAAAATTCCGCTGTTGCGTTTTTGCTTACCCTTGAAGGCCTTGAGGGCACTTTCGATTTCCGCAATGTCAACTGGCTGCAGTTGGACGATGTGGGGTCCCGCTGGTGAGGCACCGGTTCCGGACCAGACCAGGCCCCCTTCCAGGAACCTGGGCCATCCCGAAAGGGAATCCGCTAGACTCTGATTGGGCTCCATGTCGTCCGAGGCGATGCTGTCAGCAGCGCTAGCGCTGTCCGAGACCAGGGGCCGCGAGTAGGAGTGGGCAGCAAGAGCGGCTACTTCGACACGGAATTGGGTTTGTGGAGGGTCCCGAGGTGGTTGGTTGTTGGTTGTTGTCAGGCACACTTTTGAACCGCGTCAAGACAGGCGAGGGGGGAAATGGATACGAGGCAAAGCCGTGGATGGGAAGAAGAAGAAAGCGAGCCAGGTCCAGAGGTTTTTGATGGGCAGACGCATGGCATCATATTATAACTAGAGAGACAGGGAGACTCGAGCGGGCGCAGAGCAATAACAGAGAAAATATTCATGGAGGAAAAAAAGCGCCCAAGGAAGAGAGGCCAGCACGAAGGAGGGGGACTCTGGGCAAAGGACAACACCATTATGCCCCTCTTGCTGCATCCGAGAGTTTGGCAGGTGCAAGCGCACTGCCGGGACTACTTCTTCCGGCAGTGAAAGCCTAGTGGCTTCTTGGTGATGCCTGGCTATCTCTGCCGGTCGAGCATAGGTTATGGAGGGTGCAAGGCAGACGGGTAGCTGCCTAGGTAGACGCGAGACACGCAGTGCAGGGTGGGATACGGGTGGAGGGGCCGAGCCCCCGTGGCCACAGGAGACGTCCTTGAGCGGGTTTGTGCCGCCCTGATTCGCCAGGCCTGGGATAAGGGCGCTCTGAGGCGGGCTCGGCCGGCCGGCCGGATGCAACAAAATGGTGGGAGGAGAGACGCAATGAACGGTAGGTGGAGACTATTGACAAGGACGAGGATCATATGCGAGGATATGTAGAGACTGGGCAGGCACTGATCGAGATGATGGGGACAATACGCCACCGACAAGGACCGGCTGCGATTCCAAGAAGTGGACCAGGGGGTTTAATGTAGTACCCTTTACCGCACCTGGCAGCTCAATTTCGAGGGTACGTGAAGGTTAGGTCTAGGCAGATACCTACCTAGAGAGAGATAGCTAGGTAGGGAGATGGGTACCTGAAGGACGGGAACCGGAAGTGGCCATGGGGGGAATGAGAGTGAGGAGGGAAGGGGTGGATGGAACGAAAGGCAGTCATGATATCGGTGGCCCCTGTGCCGAGAGAAAGGGACACGAGAGGCGTGGGAGAACGGGGCAAGGCTTCATTCGGGCATGGATCGGATCCGGGGGCATCGAGTTCGCACCGCCAGCAGGAAAAAATGGTCCGAGTTCATCATATCGACGACATCATAACCGGCTGCTCGCAGAAGGGTGCATGAGGACCGCAGCCTCCTGCCGTCTCTCGCTTAGGGCGTGTTTGCATGTGTGTGAGTGGCGATCGGCAGAGTGGGAGAGAGACAGAGAGAGAGGGAGAGAGAGAAAGGAAAAGGATAGAAGGAAGAAACCGAGAGATGGAAGGGACGAGGTGGCTGCGGACGCAAAGCGCAGGTGCCACCCATCCGTCTATGGTGGTAGAGGGTAGGATGGGACAGGGAAAAAAAAAAGACCCCCGCCAGCCGATGTGGATCGTTTCGACTGTAACATGCAGTTCCCTCGGCCTCGGACAAGTGCTGTATGACCTCGTTGTTCCCCCTTTTCATAACAACCGGCTGGGCTTCCGATCGGCTGGATCGAACGATTAGATGGCGACGCATATCAGGTCATACAGGCGGCCAGCGGTACACGCAGACTAGGGCAAGCACAAACTGCGGCCAAGGCCAGCCGCGGCCAGCCGTGGCTGGCCGGCGATATACCTACGTATGGCAGTCGTCCGCCGGGTCTAGCCTGCCAGGCCCGGTGGGTCGTGGAGGTCGGCCAGGGGCCGGCCACAAGAACTGGGCAGGAGAGGGAGACGAAGGAAGAAGAAAAGGGAAGAAAAGCAAAAAAAAAAAAAAAAAGGCAATACCCACGACCCTTGGCCGCTTCTCGCTTGGCTAGTGCGGAGGGCCTCGGCGGCAAGAGCACCGGCTGGTTAGCTGGCAACGGCCACCACGAGTTTGGGGGCCGCGATATCGATTTCTAGGGGTGGATGGTACTCAGGTG